ATCGACCTGAGCCCCTCTCAGGTGTTGAAGGAGATCATCTTGGTGGACGATTTCAGCTCAGATGGTGAGCAGCTTGACTAAGGAATAATGGTAAAAATGACCATTTACCGGCTGTGCTATGCTGGGAAGGGGTTTTAACTTTCAGCTTAGCGCACTGTGCTTCTCAGGTAGGGCAAAGAAAGGGACCACTTATTGAGGGCCTGTTGATGAGCACAACATTTGTGCTGGGCACACTGGTCTTCACAAAGTCAAGACTGGGTCACCATCTCAATCACACAGACGAGTAATTAGTAAACTGGACCCGGAAAGATCGCCTGGTGGTGGAGCTGAGTCAGGTCAGGACTGCGTGACTCTAAAGCCACCTATGCCCTTTTCCATGCAGCATGAAGGAGGCCTGAGGGGGTGAGGTGGGGGTCCAAAGGAGACCTTCAGACGCCATGAAGGGATTTGGAATCATTCCCTACCAGGACAGCACCAAGGAAAGAGGGCTTTGGATGCTGAGGCTCTTCAGAGGACCAGTGACTCTTGCTCACAGTCCGCCCCCTCCCCTAAAGAAAAACAACGGGCTTGGAGTATTCACAGAGGGATCCACCCCTGACTTTGGCAAATACTTTGTGACTTTGAATAAGTCACTTTGCCTTATGTATTTATTTGTAAAATGAAGAGATAATCTTTTGGTAATTCCTAAGGGTTTTCCAGCCCTGAAATTACATGATACAAAGAGAGCTGTGTTCTTTGGAAAATGTGGAGAATCAGAGGGCAAAGAAACATGAAACAGAGAGAATCAAGAGATAATGTAAATTAAGGTAGAATACTGAGGGTTCTGTTCAAAATGCCTTGGGGCTGGCGTATTGATAAACCAATTCTAAAGCTGCTCTTGACATGGATTGCCAGTTCTCCTGAAAGCTACAGAGATTCTCTGGAATATGGAGAGTTCCACTCACCACCCAGCATAGCCTAAACGATGAAGGTGCTCTGTGTCAGGTCAAGGTGCTTGGCACAGTTATGTCTGCTTGCTTGAGCTGCTCACTCTCATATCCAGCCTGGGTTTGTTACACATTATTCAAGGGCAGAGCCCATCTTGGCTCAAATTCAGGAAGACCGCACTGTGATTGTGTCTTCTGTGTTTGATAATGTTCGTTTTGACACCTTTGAACTGGAAAAGTACACATTGGCAGCTGATGGTTTTGACTGGAGACTATGGGGCTGCTATGACCTACTGCCAGAGGCCTGGCTGGATCTGCATGATGTCACCACCCCACTGAAGTAAGTCTGAATGGGCTCGGGAACTTGGTTGGTGCATGGTGAGTCATGAATGGATGGGGTGGGTGCAGTTTATCTTTGGTGGTAGTAATGGGAGTTGGCTGGGTTGTGTGGAGGAGAGAGGGTGAAGGTCAGGGCATAGAAAAGCTGGTCCCACATAAGCTATCACAGACCCTTTGTATTGTTTAGGGGCTTTTGCACAAAACAAAGCAAAGCACTTGATGTTTTAGGAGACATTTGGGTCATTTTAAGCATTTATCGGGCTATGAAATAGGGATATCAAGATGAGAAGGATGTAACTTTGGTGTAATTTGAGCAGGGTTGTGACAGCACAGGGGGGAGGGAAGGCTGCGTGCACTTAGCCCAGCCTGAGTCTTTAGGGTAAGAGGAGGCTTGGGGAGAGCTTTGAGGGCCAGATCACCTTTGGGCTCCTTACCCCTCACCCCCATCCCGACCAGTCGCTCACAGAAGAGGCAGTGACTCTCCTGCTGTGAGCGCTCCAGGAGTCCTTCCAACCTGGGCATCCTGGCTGCCAACAGGCACTTGGTGGGGGAGACTGGGTCTCTGGATGGTGGGATACTCATCTATGGAGGAGAGAACGTGGACCTCAGCCTGAGGGTGGGTACAGTCCCACTCTTATTATAGGGCAAAGCAGAAGTGGAAATAATCAGAGTAGGATCTCTGGAAGCTGGAACAAGGCTGAATGTCTTTGGCTCAAAAGGCGGGCAAATCCTCCTGTTGCCAGGTCAGTAGGGACAGGCCACAGGGCTCTGCAGTGGAATAGGTCCATGCAATCTATAAAGCATGGGAAGGGGTACTGAGGCTGAGCAATGGTGTTCCTGTTTCTTTTAAGGACTCCAAGCATTTTCCGGCCATCTCTTGGAAAAAAACAAATTTGGGGCAGACAGCTTTCTACAAAACCAGTCAAAGAGAAACTGGAGAAAGCAGAGGACCAGGAGACACAGGAGTGTGGGCAGCGAACTTGCTCCTGATTGGATGGCTGGAGCAGCTGGCATGTGACATAAGTCTGTGGTAAGATGTGGTCTAGCCAAGGACTAATAGCCAGTGACGGCTTGTATCTTGTATATCAGTGAAAACCTCTAACCAGTTCTAGTTCGGACCCACTTCCTGTGTGTCTGGAACAACACTGGTTTCACATTTCAACAATTATGTGTCTTCTTCAGCTTCTCATGTCTTCTCAGGTCAGATGAACAATATGAAATTTTGTGCTCTGTAAGGGAATTCAAGGTGCAAACTAAGACAATTGGAGAAATTCCAAGTGCAGGTTCATATTGTATTAGTGTATCTGTTAGCTATTGCTACAGAAATGCTTTGTAACAAACCACCCAAAACTCAGTGACTTAAAAAAAATAATGATTTATTCTCATAGATCTTTAGGCCCAGCCAGCTCTGTTCCACACATGTTTATTCTGAGACCCAGGTTGATGGGACAGCAGCTACCTTCCTAAACTCTCCTTATGTTGCAAGAGAGGGCAAGTGGAACCACGTGATGCCTCTTAAAGCCCAGGTTTGGAACTAGCACATTATTTCTTCTGCCCTTTCACCTGTCAAAGTAAGTCTCATGGTCCAGCCCAAAGTCAGGGACTGGTGGGGTATCTTCTGTCTACAGCAAAGCCATGAAGAGAGGTATGAAGAATTGGGGCCAATAAATTCAACCCATGACAATCAATTAGGGACAGCTTCATGCATAAAATATCCCTTCCATAGTTTCCATTTTGCCTCCTGAGTATGATCTACAGGCCTTGTTTTTGCTCCTTGGTTTTGTGGTTATTCTTGTTAATTTATCCTTCTTGGATCTTCCATTCTAAGGCTGAACTCTTAAATGAGGCAGTATAAGGTAGTGAAAATTACACAGCATTGCAGACAGACAGACTTATGTCCAAATCCTACTCTGTCACCTGAAGTTTGTGTTATCTTGGGCAAATACAAGCTTTCTAACTGGACCTGGCTCTGTCAAGCACCTAGTGTGGTAAGTGACACATGGCTTACACTCCCTAAAGGGTTAATGATAAAAATAACAATAATAATGATTTCAGGTTGGTATTGTAGAAAATGCAAGACCTAGGCTCTAGTCCTGGCTCTGCTAACTCACTGTGGACTGAGCTTGTATAAAATAGCTTTTATCCCTACCCTTCTCAGCTCTGGAATTCTGTGCCTGAGACCAGATGATCTCTGGTCCATTATAGTGTCTGGAAGAACAAGACAATTTTCTGTCTAAAGTTTATTCAGATAGACCCCTCAATTTCTTTCCAATCAAAAGTAATTATCCTATAGCCACATATTACACCCAATTAGTACTTTATGTTAATATGTTAACAAATAAACTTTGAGTCCCTGTCTGGGTTATATTTTAAGCCACAATCATACTCTTTGGCAGAAAAGACTAATTTTTTTGCATGGAGGTCTTGATCAGTTTTCCTATTTGTAAAATGAGAAGTATCCTGTTTCACATCATGAGAATAATGGTGCAGTTAAAATGTAGTATATCATTTCAGATTATTTATAAAGATAATTATAAGAACCCTTGTTAGGCTTCTGTGACAGAGGCAAAAATAGCAGAGGCTTAAACAAGACAGAAATTAATTTCCCTCTCCCACAACAGTTTGAACATCAGCAGTTCAGGACTGAGACGGCAGCTCCACGGCGATGTGGGCAAAGGATCTTCCAGCTTGTGGCTCTGCCATGTCAGCACTGCATCTGTGGCCTGGTCAGTAGGAAGAGAAAAGGGGGAAAAACAGAGCTTGTTCCTTCTTTTTAAGGGTACTTCCTGGAAGTTGTGTATGTAATTTCCCCTAAATTCCACCGGCCACTATGGGTTACCTGACCACACCTATATGCAAAGGAGCCTGGGAAGTGGAGATTCAGCAGGTTGGTTACAGTTATTCCTTCTGTAACTAAGGATGTACAGGTGAATCAATACTGGGAGTACAATAGTCTCTAGCACAAAAATGTAAATGCAGAAATAATTTAAAACATGGTACTTAGCAAAGTACCCTAGTTACAGTGTGGCTGGGGTTTTCCTACTTACCAGAACTTTCCATGAATTTGATAGGAATCCCGACCCCCCACCTTAGGATCCCAAGCCCTTCTTATCATTTCTGAACAGGCAGGCTTTTCTCTGCTCTCTCCTCCATCCCCCTCTCAGTTTCCATTCCCCTACCACATGTAGAACTCTGCCATTTGACTTTCCACAAGAAATCCTCTTTCTTTTAACATTTTGTGTTTTTTAATAGACTTTGCTTGAAATGTAAGGTAGGGAGTGTTGGGAAAGGATCATTCTTTTCCTTTGCTTGGATAAAACAGTTCTCCCCAAGAAAGGGGAACCCTCCTACACTGCTGGTGGGAATGTAAATTAGTTCAACCATTGTGGAAAGCAGTATGGAAGTTCCTCAAAACCTAAAAATAGAAATACCATTTGACCCAGGAATTCCACTGCTAGGAATTTACCCTAAGAATGCAGCAGCCCAGTTTGAAAAAGACATATGCACTCCTATGTTTATCACAGCACTATTTACAATAGCCAAGAAATGGAAGCAACCTAAGTGTCCATCAGTAGATGAATGGATAAAGAAGATGTGGTACACGGATACACACACAATGGAAATTATTCAGCCGTAAGAAGAAAACAAATCCTATCATTTGCAACAACATGGATGGAGCTAGAGGGTATTATGCTCAGTGAAATAAGCCAGGCGGATAAAGACAAGTACCAAATGATTTCACTTATCTGTGGAGGGTAAGAACAAAGAAAAAAACTGAAGGAACAAAACAGCAGCAGAATCACAGAACCCAAGAATGGACTAACAGTTACCAGGCGGAAAGAGACTGGGGAGGGTGGGTGGGAAGGGAGGGATAAGGGAGGAAATGGGACATTATGAATAGCACATATACTGTAGGTGGAGGAACATGGGAAAGGCAGTATATACAGAGAAGACAAGTACTGGCTCTGTAGCATCTTACTATACTGATGGACAGTGACTGTGATGGGGTATGTGGGGGGGACTTGATAATGGGGGGGAGTCTAGTAACCAGAATGTTGTTCAAGTAATTATACATTAATGACATCAAAATTAAAAAAATTAAAAAACAAAACAAAACAAAAAAAAAACAGTTCTCCCCAAATCCAGGTCCTTTGGTTTGTATGTGTGGTTATTTGCCTTTTAAAATCTCTAAGCACATGTTAGATCTTTCTCAAATAACAAATCTTGGAGACAATCAGCGAGGCGTGGAGTATTTTGTTCTGATGTCTGGGAGCCATGGCTGTGCCTGGTGCATGTGGAGGCTTATAAATGGAGGTGGAGAATTTGGGCTGATGGGTGAGAAAGGAGAGCCAGCATCTGCTAAGCACCTTGTGTATTCTGGGACTGTGCCAGAGCTCAACACGTGGGCGTGGACTGTCGGAGTTCTGAATCCAGCTGTCTTATACTAGCTGATAAACATGGGAAAGTTACTTAAATGGATATGATAATAATAACTACATGGTGAGGGTTAAATTCATGAAAAATATTAGGATAGTAGGTAGCACAAAGTAAGTGATGTTATAAGCAGAAGCTTCATGTCTCTGTGTGTGTGTCAGGGAGAGAGGGGTGTGTGAGAAAGAGAGAGTGAGAATGAGGGGTGTTTGGCTAGTGGGAATAAACTGAGAGTAAAATTTGAAAACTTTTGGTCGAGGATAATAGTTAACGTTACTTCATAAATGACAACTCTGATTTTTATTTCTTCACTCAACTTCAATGTTTCTTGTGCCAACAGTTAGTTTTTCTCACTAAATTCCTATGGTTTGGAAACCTCTATCAACTAGGAAAACCAAAGTAAAATTTCTTTTGGATTTTTAAATCTTTGGCTGTAGGAAATAAAATTCAAAAACAAAGTTTAGTTTTAACAGCCCAAAGGGTGGGTGTGCCGTTTTGTGGATGAGCCAGATAAGAATCAGCCTCTTACTGCCAGGCATGTAATGGTCAAGTCAGGATTTGAACACAGGTCAGTCTGACTCCAAAGCCTGGCTTTGTGTTACTGCTATTGTGAGTTGTGGGAGTAGCAAGGGAGGGGAATCTTTGGGTTCAGAGTGGAGAAAGGGACATAAAAATCTGAAAGTTGGATAAAAAGACTGAGCCCTCAGGTGGTTCACTGGACTAGCAGGACCTAAATTGCTTACCCTTGTCTTGGACTCCCATAAGCGTGGATGCAGTAGATCATTCACTGCTTCCAGATGGACTAACATTCTCCCAGAAACTGCAACTCTCTTGGGCACCTCTTCAGAAAATGCTGGAGCCATTGTATAAATATAGTGTCATTAGATAGTTCTATGATCTGTAGGGATGAAGACCATATTTTTAAGGCAAATATTAGAATGTGTGATCTGACAAGTATGTTTGTACCCATCAGGATGGCACAGAAGATTATTTAGGATTAGGTCATAAATCAGAGTATCTCTTGGTCATGGATCACCTCTATTCATTACAGATTGCCATGTAACAATATTATAACAAGCTGAGTAGCTTAAAGCAAGATGTGTTTTATTGTCTCAGAGTTTCTTTGGGTCAGGAGTCCAGGCTTGGCTTAGCAGGATCCTCTGCAAGACTGCGGTCAAGGTTTTGGCCAGGGTTGGGTCCTCGTCTAGGATTGGCTGGGGAAGCATCCGCTTCCAGGCTCATCTGATCGTTGGCAACACTCAGTTCCTGGAGGCCTTCCATTCCAAGGAAGCGTGAGCTTTTTTCCCAGCTCTCGGCTGGGAGCTGCTGTTTGTTTTTTTTGGCCCTCTCCATAGGGGGGCTCGCAACATGGTGTCTTGTTTCTGCAAAGCCAGCAAGAGAGCATGTTTCCTGGCAAGAAGGACAACTGCAATCTTACATCACACACAGGTGACCATGTACATCCTGTTACCTTTGTCGTATTTTTTTGGTTAGAAGATTACAAACCAGCATCAAAGGGAGGGGATAAGGGAAGGGTGTAAGACCAGGAAGCAGGGATCGCGGGGGCCACCTGGGGGTCTGTCCACCATGTCGCCTTACATCTGGCATGCAGGGTAGAGAAGGGTTGTGGGAAACTAAGTCCAGGGAGATTGGCTCATGGCAGGGTGCCTCTTAGGACTTTGCCACTCTCCTTGGGGATGAAGGAGCCTGGGGCAGTCCTTCCTTAGGTCTATTCAGGAGGACTTCCTGAAGGAGGTAGGATTTCTGGAGCTGTCTGAAAGACAGGAGAGGTGCAGGTTGGAAGACTTCTAAGGAAGGTTGTTACAGAGAAGCAGGTGGGGAGTAGAGGTGGGAGTGGGGGGAATGAATTTACATTCTTTAAAAAATGGTTCCAAGATGTGGCGTCTGCAAGTCAACAAGCTGGGTTGCTTATTGGCCATGGGCCCCAGCCTGCCCAGGTGATTCTTTTTCCCCTTCTCTTACAGGTGTGGCAGTGTGGAGGGAGAATCGAGATCTTGCCCTGCTCCCGGGTTGCTCAGCTAGAGAGACACCACAAGCCCTATGCCCCAGATCTGAGTTCCGCCTTGAAGCGCAGTGCTCTGCACGTGGCTGAAATCTGGATGCATGAATGCAAACACACGGTCCACTTGGCCTGGAACATACCTCTCCAGGTTCGTCATGGAACTGAACAGAAGGAAGGAAGAACAAAGGAGGAGGAGATGGTGGGAATGGTAGAAAAGGGAAGGGATGGAGCAGAAGTGCCGTCCCTGCCCTAAAGAATTAGGGTGAGCTCCTCATTAGGGTGTGATGATAATGACATCAACAATTATGTAGAGTTCTATGCTCTGTGCATTCACTAATCATTCCAACATACGTATGGGGGTAGGTTTGTTTATTATTCTAAGTTTACAGATAAGGAATCTGAAGCCCAGAGAACTGAAAGGAATATGTTCCAGGTAACCAGATAGTAAGCAGAGGAGGTACGATTCAAACCAAGGATCTTCATGTACCACTGTCGTCAGGGATTCTCCGTGGGGCAGGTCGGACATCAGGAGCTCACTGTTAAGAGGCCACACCATGGGAGACAGGATGGAGGAAGGCGGGAGGAGGGACTGTAATCCTGTTGGATGCACGTGAATAAGGATGCCTTTCTCGGTGGAGGCCGCCCGTCTGCCCAGCCAGCTGAGCCTGGTGTGATACACTGTCTTCTGTCTCCGAGCTGTGGCTCTGGGCTCAAGCATTCTCTCACTTTGATTCCTGACAGATATCACTTCTAGAAAATCTCTAAGCTCCAAATCTTGCTGCCAGAATGTTCTTCTGAAAGCCTGTCCTGGCCGTCAAGGGGTATTATGTGCCTTATTGATGTAACTATTACCTCAAGCAGGAGCAGTCTGTGTCAGCTTGCTAATGACAAGAAAAAACCTGAGTGACTCAGTCCTCGCAAGAATCCTTGAAAGCAGTATTTCCTAGGGTTCAGGCTTTTCCTGGAAAACTGTAAATTAGAAATTATCAGGATTACCTTACAGGCTACTAGGAAAATACTCTATTCTCTCATGCATCATCCAGACCCTTTGGTGGCGTCAAGGACATTGTGAGGCCCAGGAACAGTCCATGTTTTATTTACAGAACTCTGGCATTGATTTGGGAGACATTTCTTCCAGAAAGGCACTCTGGGAGAAACTGAAATGTAGAAGTTTTGACTGGTATCTGAAAAATGTTTATCCGGTCCTGAAGCCAATCCACAGCACTGTGGGCTTTGGGAGAGTACATGTTATGAAATTGTATTTCAGGTTTTAAATGTTCGACTGTGAAAGACCAGGAGACCTGAATCACATGACTGCCGAGAAAATGGCTTCCCAAACCCCTCCTGACCCATTCCCTTCCTGGCCTCGCTACTTCCTTGGTGTTGTGCCCTGGGACCCTCTGGGCTCCTTCCCTCTCTTGCTCGCCAGCCCCCATCCCTTTTCCTTCTCCTTGCCTCTGCTCCCTTACTTTGCAAACTGCAGCCCTTGCTCCGACCCTCTCAGTTTCTCAGCCAGCCTGGGTGTTTGCCTTGACCCCCGGAATGCAGGCATAGGCACCGCTTCTCTATTTGTGCTGATACGGTCTGGTGGTGGTGTTCCCAGGAAGTGTACATCACAGCAGTGCCTCACATCAGCATGGGTCTAGTGCCTAGAAAATAGCTGCCAGGACCCCAAACTGCTGCCCACTTTGGCTGGTCATTTCTGATTCCCTTGGAATGCCAGGGAAAATGTACACTGGGGAGGTCTGAGGGTCCTCTTTCTCTGCCTCTTTCCAACAGTGTGTTGTTGCGGGCTTTGCTTCTTCAGATGAAAAATTCCCTGGATGAAAGTGTCTGCCTGGACCAGGGACTTACTTCAGGCAACACCCCCAGGATGTGTTACTGTCACAGCCACAGTTGGCAGACTTCTCTAGCCCAACAGGGTGAGTCTGTTGTGCCTCAGCCCCTAGCAGCCTTTGCCAGATTTGGACTCAGTGTTAGATGATGGGGAGGCAGATGCTGAGCATGCTGGGTAATGGGAAGGGTGGAACCAAATCTGTACTTGTAACTAGGAAATGCCGAGTTCATTCAAAAAGTCATGGCAAGCCAGTCCCATTTTAGGTGCAGGGAGGATGGTCAGAAAGGCTATGCTGTCCCATTCCTTCTCCGTGGTGACCTCTGACCCCTTCCTCTCCCCTCCCTCTACTGTCTGTTCCATCCTCCCATGGTTCCTTGAGTGCCCCGGAAGGTGGACAGGTGGTGTTACCTGTGGTTTCTGTAGAGAAGGTAACAGGCAGCTATAGCAGGGAGAGGCTAAGTGGAAGTCTTCCATGGGACAGAAGAAATCTGGCATCAGGTAGAAGGGGCAGCTAGAGGACATTATTTTTTCTTCCTGAGAATATTCACATTTATCGTGCTACTTTGCATGTCACCCTTACAGGAACCTTTTGGACGTCTGCAGGATACATAGCATTTCCACCTGGCAAATGAAAAAACTGAGACACAAAGACAACTTAATTGGCCAAGCTCACTGAGCAAGGCAGAGTCAGACTGAGAATCTGAAAGCCTTCCTGACAAGAAGCCCATAGCTGGGACTTACAAAGGCAGCTTCTGAAGTTCAGTGCTTTTTTTTTTTTAAAGATAAGCTCCCTCATCCATGCAAGCCGTGGCTGCTCTGGAGCCCTCACATGGAAGGAAGCAGGTAGTGTCCCCTCCTCATGGCTGGCCTTCCTCCTAGAATCAACTCGGGGTTGGGGAGAGAGAAGCCGAGGTGAATCCATCTTGCTCAGGAAAGTTCAGTGCTCCCGTGGTCAATGAGCATCTATCTAAGGGACCCAAGAACACCTTCATGCCCTCCATAGGATCAAGGGCATCCCCGAACTATATGCAAGGCAGATCCCTTTGCTCTCTTGTAGGATGTCTGCTACCACCTAACTGGGGATTCTAGGTGGGGCCATGACTGCAGGGACACGTGCTGATGATTGCTGACCCGCAGACCCCGGCAGTGGGGAGCAACCCACTCTAGAGTCATGTCCCAAGGCAGCCAAAACTGGATCGTACATGTACTGGGATTGTAAACCAGTGAGTCACACGTTTTTTAAAGGATAGGCATATTCAAATATCATCTGAGAGGTTCAGATTAGATTCAGTGGTATTTTAGAAAGAATAATTTTGTGGCAGTGTGTAGGGAAAAGACCGCAAACTGGGAACCAGGCATGGAACCCTGAGTCAGTTGACTAGGGTGGGGTGGCTCAAGGAAGAAATACAGAATATGGAATAGCTTAACAGTTAAGAATTTGGGTTCAAATCTGAATTCAGTCACTTGGGAAGTTCCATACCTTCTCTGAGACTCAGCTTCCTCACATTTAAGATGGGGATAATATCTACCCCCATCTGTTGGGAGGATTATTACATGAGATTATGTGTGAAAAGCATTTAGTATAGTTGCTGGCACATAGAAAGTGTTCAATAAATATTAGTCATTGCTATTAGTTTTATTATGAATGATGATCAGAGAGTCTGGATCATGGAATGGAATTTAACAGGGGCTAATGTAAAAGTTTAACTTTAATTTCAACATCAATTGACCAAGAGCAAGGTGGAGGGAATCTGGCAGAATTCACATGGCAATGACATGAGGGATTTGGCTGACCACTGTCTATGTGCGAATTTACTGTGTGATGGGTGCATCCTTAGGCCCCACTGGCAGGGATGTGATGTCATTCACGAGGGAGGTGATGCCTTGTCTGACCCTATCTCTGAGCATGTTGGTACTGTGTTAGGTTCAGGAACCACATTTTAAGAGACATGGACAAACCTAACTCAGGAATTTCTAACAATGCTAATAAACCTTCTGAGAATCTGCTGCTAGTTATGGACTCTGTCTAGGAAACACATATGTACACCTATGTGCACAGTTTTGCTTACAGTTCCAGAGGATTTTTTGGACCCTAGATTAAGTCTGTCTGAACAGGACAATTACCAGTGAGAAAAAGATGGTAAATTTTGTCTTCCTGGTACAAGCTCTGATTACATGGAACTATGTATGATTCTGTGAGAGGCTGTGCTCCCTCTTCTCTTACGCCTTTTGTACGTATTGTTCCTGCTCCTCCCACCTCTTCAATGGGCCAACTGCAGAGTGTTCCTCCGGCTTAGACGCGGCCTTCCTTGAGAAGCCACCTGTAACTCCATAGATAAGGATGAGCGATGCTTCTGTGTTCTCAGGGCCCCTCGCATAGACCTTGTCTCACGATCTCATTTCATTGCCTCCTCACCTGCTTCTTTTCATCACCAGACTGTGAGCTAGAGGACAGGGCCTGGGTTTTTTTTTTGTTGTTGTTGTTGTTGTTATTGTTGTTGTTCTAGCACATGCCTGGAACATTGCAGGCACTCAACAAATGGGTGCAAAGCAAATGAGGGCTTGGCAGATCTGCAGAGATGAGCATGGAGAGGTGAATTTCAAGAAAAGATGATGCTGTCTCCACGAGGAAGAGGGAGCAGACTTGTTCAGTGTCTATGGGAGGACACAACTAGGTTCGATGGTTGGAGATCAAGGAGGCAGAGTTTGATTTAACATAAGGGGCAGGGGACGCCTTTCAAACGACGTAATGGTTTAAGCTGTCCTACTAAGAATGGGCTGCTTAACAAGGCTGTGAGCTCTCTGTCAATGGTGGTCGCCAAGCAGAGCATGTTTGAGCATTTGACAGCCCTAGCATGTGAAATGTGAGTTTTTGATGTCCCCAGTGATATCTTTTGTGTGCAGAAAACACTATTACAGGTTCATTGTGGTTTAAAGAATTATGAATTTATATAAGATTTAAACTAAAGAACTCTAGTTTTACTTTAAGCTTTATGTTTAGCTTAGAAATATTCTATCTATAAACCTAGCATGTTTTAACAATCACTTTTCTTTTGTTTCCAATTGGTATGACTTTTATTTGTTTCTTACTTTATTACATTAGCTAGAATATCTAGCTAATAGTGGTGAGCATGAATATCCTTGGCTTATTCCCAAATGAAGGGAAAGAGCATCGAGTAACATTTGCCGCATAGTTTTCGTAGATGCTGCCTGTCAGATTGAAGTAATTTCCCTGTATTTCCAATTTGCTAAGAAATTTTTTTATTATCAATGTGAGCTGGATTTTGTCAAATGTTTTTCTGGACTAATTGATAATAGTATATATTTTTCTTGTTTAGCTTGTTGATGTCATTACCCTGATTAATTTTCAAATGGTGAAACAGCCTTGCGTACATACCAGGAATAAATCACACTTAGTCATGGTGTATCCTTCTTGTCATAGTTTATTGGATTTGCTTTTGTTGAAGATTTTTGTGTCTAAGTTCATTAGAAATAATGGCCTGCAGAAAAAATTGTTTTTGTTTCAGTCCTGTCTTTGGTTTCAGTATCAGGGTAATACTGGCTTCATAAAGGAAGTTGGGAAATGTTCTCTTGTTGATAAAATTTGTCCTGTTGATAAAAATGACAGAATGGCCCAATTTCTACAAGAGACATTTTTTAGAAGAGACTGTTTTAAGTTGGTGTTAAGCCTTCTTTGAATGTTTGGCTTAATTCTCCAGTGAAACTATATGGGCCTGAGGATTTCTTTTCCAGGAGTTTTAAAATTATGAACTGAAATTTTTTTGACAGTACAGGGCTATTCAGATCGTTTATTTCATGTTGATTGTGTTTTGGTGGTTTACGATTCTTGAGGAATTGGTCCATTTTCCAAGTTTATCAGGATAAAATTATTTGTTGTAAATATTTATTTATTTTTATTGCAATATAATTAACATCATATTAATTTCAGGTGTACAACATAATATACATAATTTATGTAATATTGCAAAATTATCACAATAATGAGTCTAGTAAATATCCATTACCACATATCATCACAAAAATTTTTTTTCTTGTGGTGAGAAGTTCTTAAGATCTACTCTCTTAGCAACTTGAAAGGAGATTTTATAATTTAATGAATTGCCTTAAACATTACAGGAAAACATTATGTGTTTAATGCACTAAATATCCTTTCTTTAGAACTTCAGTTAGCTGACTTTAGGTTGATTGATTCTTAAGTTCCCTTAAATGTTTCAAAAGTGTCATCCAGTAAAATTTTGACATCAAATCACGAACTTAATTATTCAAATACACACTTTTAAATTGGTATCACAAGGTGAATCTCTAAGACAAATTTTCTTAAATATAGCAAATACTTAAAAATAGTGAATATACACAGAATCATTAACAAATACTATGTGTGGATCCCCTTAACATCTCTACTTTCTCCTAAATCTCTTGGAAATTAAAAATACTACTTGTTTTAAATAAACAATTATGACATTCCAAACATTTTGAAGGTTGCCTTTCCAGGAGGGCTTTGGAAGGTCACCTTCCCAGCTAGTGGAACTTGCTGATAGAATACAGATCTAGAGCTGCAGGATACACAGAGGAACACTGCCCACCACCCTGATGTCCAGTCTGGGTCCCTTCCTATGGCCACTATGGCAAGAACTCCAAAAGTTAAAGAAGGAGGTGATCATGTAGTTCATGAGGCATTACCCGATTTTAAGTCAGGTTTGAGTCATTGTGCTCTGTCTAAGCCTTTCACCTCTGTCATACCTCTCGGGATGCAGTTCTTTCAGATACAAAAATAATAATTTGATTGAATGTTGGGTCCCTTTTGGGCTCTATCTACTTTATAGACATAACTTGCACACTCATTCTACTAAAAAAATTACCAACAATATTATCCAGAATTGAGAGGGAGGTAAAACTAGATAATCCCTTTTGTCTTCTTCCAGTTCCATGATTAGTGCTTTGAGTCAACCAGAGGAGGCTGTGCTGCCCAAGACCACGAGACATAGTAGACAGCGCCAGTGACCGGGAAGGGGTCGATTTGCAGAGACAAGGCTCATCGGAGACATTTGAACTTTGAGAAACAGAACACAGAGCTGAGAGTAGAGACACAGCTGAAATAAGGGAGAATTTGAGTGAAGGTCGTCATCTGAAATCTTCAGCCCTGACATGAATCAAAAACAATTTGATTTTTGGAGTCCTTGCTATCGTGGCCATAGAAAGGGACCCAGCCCGGACATCAGAGTGGTGGGCAGAATCCCCCGAGGTACTTGGCAGCTTCAGGTCTATATTCTAGCAGTTTCTTCCATCAGCTGAGAAATGATCTTCCAAAGCTCTCTTGGAAAGGCAGCCTTCAGAATATTTGGGATGTTGTAATTGTTTCCTTAACACAAAACTAATTATGTCCCCTTTTAAGGTCCTAATTCTCTTTTAAGACAATATCTTAATTTAAGGAATAACATAGAATGTATGTCAAGAAAATATCAATATTTATCATAGGAAAATACTAGGACAAATGAAATGTTCAGAGTAGGGGAGATTTTTGTTCATCCCTTGAACTGCATAGTATATAGCCATTCCAAAAAAAATGTATTTTCAAAAAATTAAAGAAATTGGAAAATGCACATGATACGATGTTAAATTTAAAAAACAGGATTAAAAAGCTACATATACAATGCTATCCCATTATGGGTGCTTTTAAGTTTTAAAATATGCTTTCCAAATTTAAAAAGTGAGCCATGTATTTCTTTTGTGAAAGTGAAAAATAAACAAAAACAAAAATCCTTAAAACCCTGGCAGGTAGCACCCCCCCCCCAATAAAAACCAGATCGAAAATGCATAAGGTACAGAAACGTGTAAGGTGAACACAATGTAAAAGAAGCCAAATGAGAAATACTGACAAAGCAAGTGTCCCATGAAAATGGAAAGAAGACAGAGAAAAGATCATCAACTTGATTTAAAAAGCCACAGTGAATTATAATATCCATGATTTATTGAGTACACATGATGTGCCCGGCACTGGGTTAAACAGTATCTAATTGAGTCCTCATGTAAATCTTATGAGAAGGGTTGTCATTACACCTAGTTTACCTCTGAAGTAACTGAAGCACAAGAAAGTCAAGTAATATTCCCAAGGTCACACAGCAGAGTAAACGCCTAGGATTCAAACAGAATCTTACCTGCTGTTGGTTACTGCCTGCTGTTTGGGAAGGTTTGATTCTGAAAG